GGGGGGGGGGGGCAACAATAAATCAGTCAATATTTGCTGAGAGAACTGTCAACTCATCTCTGCGGTGATACCAGTTTCTGTAGACGTGTAAATAGTGTCTATCTCTCGTTTGCAGTTTTTGTTATCCTAGTTTTCTTAGTGCAAAGTTATACAATGGGCTGTCTGTATTCTGTTCACTCCGGATTTTAGCACTGTAAATCTGTACACTTACAGCTGAACAATCGAAGACGTTTCTCATTTGTTGTAATTCTGTAGATTACATTGTACCCAATTGCTGTTGATGTCATTTTCACAAACACGTTGTACACGTGCATTCACTTTAGTAATTTTCAAACTCTGTTCTTATTATACATCAATTAGTCTGAAGATGGCTCCAAGAGAGGACTTGACAGCTTGCCCAATAAATGTTGAATGTGGAAATAAGAATTCGTTTGAGCTATCATTATTTTTACCATTATCGTATCTCACATTTCCGTTTTATTTTCTATGATTTTTTTAACGTTTCAATTTAAAACATATGTAATCTTTTATGGGTCCTGGTGCATTGTCCCGTTTGATAGACTATTGTTACACCACTGCCTTTTTGGGCTGTTAAGTGTCTAAAATTAAATCACGACAGTAATTATCAGAAAGTAGGAGTAAGGAAAGGAAAGCAATATAAGACGTATAATACCACAAGCATGATCAACAACAAATAAATATTCTATTTCAAGCCATTCCTTAGGTTGTTCTGTGTTCGATGACATCATACTTTTCAGATTGAAGGTGTTATTGTTCTTACCCTTCCGAAGATTGAGCCCCAAAACATGGATGATATATCTAACTGTGTTCACGACCATCACTGGCTTCACCAATGGCTTCATGTTTGCGGTTATTAAGCCTTTCGTATTTCAAACTAATTGCTACTCTTCTGGATGCGTGATATTCAGGTACACTACCCCCCCCCCCCGTGAAGAAATAAAGTAAACTTTCTGAAATCACTCGGATTCCAAAAGTAAAGTATCTGCAATGCACTGCAGGTTCAAGAAATATAAATAAGGAAGAAGATTAATATAGACAACGAACAAAAAAAAAAAACAATTTAACAAATAAGCAGAATTTTAATCCATAAGTAAAAACATTATGGGGTCTTTATCAAATTGTCCGGATTTAATATGCATTATTATGGCCTCTTTATCTGATGGGCAGATCAGAATTTCTTATACACAAGACAAGGATGAGAGCAAGAATCGCGATGATACCACATAAAAGTCAGATAAAGTCCTAATGCAGTATCCCTCAATCATGGATTAGAACAATCATTCCCGTTAGACATATTCTAGGGAGAAAAAACACAATTCATACTTATTTTTTTCAAGTCTCTATACTATTCCTTAAAGCTATTATGAGCTCACCACAGGAAGGCATCACACAAAAAAGAACTTAAGCAAGTATAAGCTACATTGAACAATAATTGCGCCATGTAAGTTATGTCTAAGCTAGAGGATTTGCACAAGTTTATGACTGGTCGACATCCTGTTTATGAGGACAACACTGGCTACATGCAGAACAATCACATAAACGTGGAAAAAATTATTCTTCGATGAAATTAAAATAAAGGTACATTCTTTACTAGATATAAATATCACAGTTTTACTACTTTCAAAGATGTCATAGCTTTCAATACCTTCCTTCATCAACACAAACACAACTTTGGTATGTCTACAGCAATGTAAGGGTCTTGCATCTCCTGCTACTAATCATTACCAGAACTACTGTCTCTACACGAATAATATTTCCTGCAAGTATCATTCTCAACTTCACAGGAGGTCATGTCATTTCCCTCAGTACACTGGAAGCATTCATTGGGATAAACGTCTTTTTAATAGAAAGCTTTTTACTAATACAAAACCTTCTTACATTCAACAGTCGTGACCATCTTTCACAAAATTCTAATGTCATTATTACCTATTTTTAATGTAACTTCTTAACGTGAATTTTTGTCTATAATAAGGGGAACCTCCAGAGAAAGTTTATGCTTATGCAGCTTACCTCCTCTGGGATCCACACATCCACCAAAGTGTTAGTCACTTCTGGTGGTCGAGAAACCATAGTGAAATTAGTGTGTACAGTGACTAAAATGTAAAAAAAAAGCGGATAAAGGGAGGTCATAGGTATTGCCATAGGAAGCAATTTTGGAGCAATCAGGCCATTGCCACATTGACATTTCATGCTATGAGATTGAATCTTGAGCCATTTTAACCATAAATACTGCATACATACAATGTAATGTACTGAATTAAAAGAAGCAAGTTTTAATACATAAATTGTAGCTATACATGCCATAAAAAAGTAGTAAAGCCATGGCTTGACTGGTCTTATCACTTCCTAAGGCCCTAATAGGGTCAGGACTCAGTTTTTCCAAAATAATACTAAAAGTAGACAAGAGTAGAGACTTTGTGTCTCAGTCTGTGAAGCCCTAAAATAAGCCATGTGTTGTTTTTGTTGTTTTATGCACGTAATGAAACTGGGAAAGGTATATTTCTTTTTAAACAATAGTGATGTATTTATTTTCTCAATTAACAATGCCATTATTAAGGAAATACACATATTATTACATGCTTATATCCTGGTACAAGAGTTGGACGAACAGCTTTTCAAGATTTTCTATCCGACTTTATAAAAAGTAGATTTGACTCTCAATAAGTTACTTAGTTACTAAGTGTACTAAGATGTTTCTAAGTTTGAATATCGGTAGCTTCTAGGATACTGGCAACAATCATAACAACTAAGCGGGTCTTCTTTCCCCGCTGATTTTTCCAAGCCCATACCCTTGGCTGTGGTTTCGCTAAATAGTAGATAGAGACAGTGGGAATCTCGAT